GACTATAATACTAAATTACGTAATACGAGTAATTACAATAGATGATTACAATAAGATGATTAAAATGAATAAAATGTTTTAGTTACAATAATTAAAGGTCATAGAGGTGTAGAAAATAAATAAGATGATAGGACGAGTATTCATGAATAAAATTCATGTTCACATTTCCTCACAGAATAAGTACTCTAACAAAACATTTTCATATATATACGATTGTACAGCTTGGTAATTAATTCGTTAAAAAGAGATCCGTTCGCTGAACGTTTTGCTTTTAATGTTTAAATGGGAATTATATGTCAATTAAATAATAATTGCAGGTGATATAAGTTCATAATCTGTTGATCACCGTCTCTTTCTAGACATATAAATTAGGTTTGAGTATTTTTCTATTGTTACTACTTTGGTACACTAATAAGATATCGCGCTTTTTAAATCTGTTCGTAATTTTGAAGCACTAGGAAATACTAATAATATACCTAGTATCAATTAAATGTTGATTTATTGCCTTATTTAGATGCGTTCAGCCTATCATTCTCAAATTATTTGGAATTTACTTTTACTTATAACCAATCTTTGAAATTATTCAAGGGGAAAAATTATACACCAAAAAGGGGATGAAAATTTTTCCCTTTTATAAAATATATCCTTGAAAGCTATAAGAAAAATAATCAAAAGTAAACAACAAGTACTCAGTCAAATTTATTTTTGGTCACGACAAAATTATTTTTTTTCAAATTCACATTCTCCTTTTTTTTAAAAATTTGCTTGAATGATTTCCAAAGTAACGAGAAAAAGGAAAGAAAAGAAGAAAAACCCCAGATTATTTTGTTCTGAAACTATTTATTACTTTTTAATATTAATAAATAGAACAAAAAATTTTCTATCATTTATTTGGCTCATCTTTCCACTAAAATTCACCGAAATCAAATTTTTTGATTTTAATGAATAAACTTATGGCAGTGAAATAATAATAATAACAGTACTGTAAGGGGTATATTCAAAGATGAATAAACCTTCAAATGTGATTTTCATTGGATTATTTTGTTTGATATAACTAATTAAAAGATGAAATGATGTGAAAATAAAAGGAAGTTTTTCTTTTTCTTTTTTTTTGTTTTATTTCATTTTACTTTGGATTATTCCTATTTGACTGAAGCGAAAAAAATAACAAAAATAGCACAATAATATTATGATTAACTATAACAGATTTATAATTGAAAAGTGTACACATTTAAGTGAATAAGATTAGGTTGTATAATTTAAATCTGAATACTTTTTTTCTTTGAATTTCATAGTGTTTTACAAAATAACCAGATCAAAAAATGACAAGTGAATATCAACTTTGTTATTGATAATGTTGTGAACGAGAACACAGATGAGGGACAACCAATATATTTTAATACAAAATTACAGAGTTCTTTTATCAAATATGAAAACCATTCGTTCAGGACTTCATTTGCAAACCCTCCATCAATTGTTGAAATCTCATTGTTTCCTCATTGACATAACAATTTATCTCTGTTCCCATTCTTTTCGATCCAATCATCCCAACCTTCTGCTGCAAGGTTTTCTATTTCGATTAGTGTTACACACTAATTATGTCTATCGACATAAGTAACATACACCACGAATATACATCCTTGAATTTGTGTGCAGTATGTAGAACTACAATGTATATGGAAACTGTAACACAACAACGATGAGCGAATAAATTGTAACTGCTGCGAATTTCTTATGTACTATTATTACATATATTCTTATTGGATAATTATTATGTAACTAATATATATATATATATTACTTACTTACTTACTTACGCCTGTTACCCCTTGTGGAGGAGCATAGGCCGCTCACCAGCATTCTCCATCCAACTCTGTCCTGAGCCTTCCTTTCCAGTTCTTTCCAGTTGCTATTCATCCTTTTCATATCGGCTTCTATTTACCGGCGTAGTGTGTTCTTTGGCCTTCCTCTCTTCCGCTTCCCTTCCGGATTCCAAGTTAGGGATTGAGTCGTGATGCACATTGGTGATTTCCTCAATGTATGTCCGATCCACTTCCAACGTCTTTTCCTAATTTCCAATTCAGCTGGAAGCTGATTTGTCCTCTCCCATAAAACGCTGTTGCTGATAGTATCCGGCCAGTGGATGTTGAGTATTTTGCGTAGACAACTGTTTATAAATACTTGTACCTTCCTGATGATGGCCGTAGTAGTTCTCAACGTTTCAGCTCCGTACAGTAGGACTGTCTTGACGTTCGTATTAAAGATTCTGACCCTGAAATTGGTTGAGAGTTGTTTTGAGTTCCATATGTTCTTCAATTGTAGAAATGCTGCCCTTGCTTTGCCAATCCTCGCCTTTACATCTGCATCCGATCCCCCTTGTTTATCAACGATGCACCCCGTGAATGTTTCCACCTCTTCCAGAGTTTCGCCATCAAGTGTGATTGGGTTGGTGTTCTCCGTGTTGCATTTGAGAATCTTGCTTTTTCCTTTGTGAATGTGGAGGCCTATCGATGCGGAGGCTGCTGCTACATTTGCTGTCTTCATCTGCATTTGGTCGTGTGTATGAGAGAGGAGGGCTAGGTCATCTGCGAAGTCCAAATCATCTAATTGATTCTGAGAAGTCCATTGTATTCCGTATTTCCCTTCAGATGTCGAATTCTTCATAATTCAGTCAATCACTAGAAGGAAGAGGAATGGGGAGAGTAGACAGCCTTGTCTGACTCCGGTCCTTACTGGAAATGCATCTGTCAGCTGTCCTCCATGCACCACTTTGCACTGTAGGCCATCGTATGAGTTTTGGATAATGTTGACGATCTTCTGAGGAACTCCATAGTGTCGAAGAAGTTTCCATAATGTTCTCCTGTCCACGCTGTCAAACGCCTTCTCATAGTCAATGAAGTTGACGTATAGTGATGAGTTCGACTCAACTGATTGTTCAACGATGATCCGTAGTGTCGCAATCTGGTCTGTGCACGACCGATCCTTACGGAATCCAGCCTGATGATCCCTAAGTTCAGCGTCTACTGCGTCTTTCATCCGATTCAGCAGCACTCTGTTGAAAACTTTTCCTGGTACTGATAACAAACTGATGCCTCTGTAGTTCTCACATTTGCTCAGATCTCCTTTCTTTGGTATCTTGATGAGATATCCTTCTTTCCAGTCCGTTGGCACTTGTTCCTCTTCCCAAATCTTATTGAATAGAAGGTGAAGCATATTTGCAGTTATTTCAATGTCTGACTTCAGTGCTTCTGCTGGTATATTGTCAGGTCCTGCCGCCTTCCCACTTTTGATTTGTCTGATGGCCATCTTGACTTCTTCGATCGTTGGTGGAGTGATATCTACTGGAAGGTCAGTGTGGGCTGCTTCGATGTTCGGTGGATTCAATGGGGCTGGTCTATTCAGCAGTTCCTCGAAGTATTCTGCCCATCTTTTCCTTTGTTCTTGAATCTCAGTGATTGTCTTTCCTTCTTTGTCTTTGACTGGTCTCTCTGGTTTGCTATATCTCCCTGCCAATTTCTTCGTTGTGTCATATAGTTGTTTCATATTCCCTTCTCTTGCAGCTTTTTCCGCCGCCGTTGCTAGTTCTCCCATGTATTTCTGCTTGTCGGCTTTAATGCTTTTCTTCACTTCTCTGTTTGCTTCTGCGTAGTCTGCTTGTGCTTTGACTTTCTCTGCTCGTGTTCGGCTGTTGTTAATTGCTAGTTTCTTGTTCTTCCTTTCTTGAATTTTGTCCAGGGTTCCCATAGAGATCCATTCCTTGTGATGATGCTTCTTAGGACCAAGAACCTGCTGACACGTTGAAGTTAGTGCTTCTTTTATCCCTTTCCAGTTGTCCTCCAAAGTAGTTTCTTGTTCTTTCAGTAGATCCTGTAGAGCTTGGAACCTGTTGTTGAGAGTTATCTTGAATTCATGGAGCTTGTCAGTATCTCGAAGAAAGGCTGTATTGAACCTTTGTAGTGCTGTTTGTCCAGTTGTCCAGTCTTTCTTTAGCTTCAGTCTCATCTTGGCCACAACCAGGTGGTGATCTGAAGCTATGTCAGCTCCTCTCCGGGTTCTCACATCTTCCATTGATCTTCGGAATTTTTTGTTGATACAGATGTGGTCAATCTGGTTCTCTGTGGTGTGGTCCGGTGAGATCCATGTAGCTTTGTGTATACGTTTGTGTGGGAATATTGTGCCGCCTATAACCAATTTGTTGAATGCACATAGGTTTGCAAGTCTCTCCCCATTTTCATTTCTCTCTCCTAATCCATGTCGTCCAATTACATCTTCATATCCTGTGTTGTCCACCCCAACTTTAGCATTTAGATCTCCCATCAGGATTGTGAGGTCCTTTCGTGAGCACTTCACTATAATTGATTGCAGCCTTTCATAGAACTGATCTTTATCATCGTCGTTGCTATCATTAGTGGGTGCATAACATTGAATAATGTTCATTTTGATCCCTTGCTTCTTTGTTCTGAATGATGCTTTGATTATCCTGGGTCCATGAGATTCCCATCCCACAAGTGCATTTCGTGCTTCTTTGGACAGTATTAGAGCAACTCCCTGAGTGTGTGGAGCATTTTCCCCTTCGTGACCGGAGTACAGCAGCATCTCTCCTGTACCTAGCCTTTGTTGTCCAGTTTGTGTCCAATGGGTTTCGCTGATTCCGAGTACTGCCAAGTTGTATCTTCTCATTTCCATTGCTATTTGGCTGGTTTTTCCTGTCTCCCACATCGTCCGGACGTTCCATGTACCTATAAAGAGTGTTGCTCTGGTTGTTAGAAGGTGCATCGGTCTCGTGACTTCCGAAGAATTTCGGCTTTCATCATGAGACGTCATAATTATTCCTTCAACTCTCAGGGCAGAGTTTAAATGGTTTGAATTATTTTTTCTGGTTAGCGTTTTTTTAGCGAGTTAGCTTTTCTATGGGATGGGGTCGCTAACCCCATGCCCAACCTTCCTCCTTTACCCGGGCTTGGGACCGGCAGTAACTCTAGAAGAGCTACAGGCAGTAACTGAACAAAAAATTGTGATTTTCCTTGTAAAACATATACTTAGAAATATTGTCCAAAATTTCGTATTATTACATGTATATGTACATTAAAGTAATAATCAGAAAACAAATGTTTTACGAAATTTAAATGTAACCAAAATCAAAAATCGTATAAAAGAATCTAAAACATTATAGTTTACTTTTTTTAAATCGGAAAATTCTATAACAAGGCCCGCGTAACGAAGACCAACTGGTTGATTAGGGGTTAAACGACGATATCCTTTCTCAGCAACTTCTTGAAAATCTGAACTTTCTATGTACAGCTCCTGTTGCAACAGTACACTATGGGTTTTACTGTCTGGAATGGCAGGAAAATCCGCAACTGTAAGCTAAAAACAAAACACAAAGTATGCTGAATTTACTGTCAACCTAAACAGTGAATGTAAAGAATTTTGAAAATAAAAATCATTTTACCTCGACAGAAGATTTATTGCCATATAGTTCACACCAATTCGTAATAGTGACTATTATTGGCTCTAAAACAGCCATCACACGTGGTGCATGATCATTCAGATAGTCCCGTACGCAAGCATCTAAAGCAGAAGGATCTAGGATTGTTTGAGCCATAGTAACGCCAATACGTTCACAAAACATATTAATAGCTTGAGGTGGAAATCCACGACGACGGAGTGCCGTCAAAGTAACTAACCGCGGATCATCCCAGTCATTAACAATGCCGGCTTCTATCAGCTTTAAAATTTTGCGCTTTGACACCACACTATAATACAGATTGAGGCGGCCATACTCCCACTGAACTGGACAATAAATATTTAGTGAATTACAAAGCCAATAGTAGGCAGGACGTCTAAAACCAAGAATTCCAAAAAACTCGTTAGCAGTTATACAATATATATATAACGATAAATAGTGAGAACTGAGACAAATAAAACAATACTGTTAAAAAAGTGGGCATGTCTCTATATAACTGAATTCCTGTCGATATCTGAAGTACCTAGTTTATTGGCTACTTTATTATTATGAGATTCCCATCCCACAAGTGCATTTCGTGCTTCTTTGGACAGTATTAGAGCAACTCCCTGAGTGTGTGGAGCATTTTCCCTTTCGTGACCGGTGTACAGCAGCATCTCTCCTGTACCTAGCCTTTGTTGTCCAGTTTGTGTCCAATGGGTTTCGCTGATTCCGAGTACTGCCAAGTTGTATCTTCTCATTTCCATTGCTATTTGGCTGGTTTTTCCTGTCTCCCACATCGTCCGGACGTTCCATGTACCTATAAAGAGTGTTGCTCTGGTTGTTAGAAGGTGCATCGGTCTCGTGACTTCCGAAGAATTTCGGCTTTCATCATGAGACGTCATAATTATTCCTTCAACTACCAGGGCAGAGTTTAAATGGTTTGAATTATTTTTTCTGGTTAGCGTTTTTTTAGCGAGTTAGCTTTTCTACGGGATGGGGTCGCTAACCCCATGCCCAACTCTCCTCCTTTACCCGGGCTTGGGACCGGCAGTAACTCTAGAAGAGCTACACACGGAGTTATATATGTATATATATATATATATATATATATATATATATATGCTATTATTAGGTTATTTTCAATCTATTAGTTCCAGCATCTCACACTAACAGCCGCTTTTATCCTGACCTTTTATAATTATTATTTCCTATTTTATGCCATGATGCGGTCTGATTTGCTTGTGTATGAGCTGCGTTTATCTGAAGAACTAGATTCATACAGTGAAAGCTGAGTTAGCGTTTTAGACTCAATGTGCAGGGCAGGCAGAAGAACTAGTAGGGACTCAACGTTGAATATAGGCAGCTTGTGCTGGTTAAGTGTCATTGGTTTGGCACAGGGCCAAGTTCATATAAGAATGTAATATATATATATATATATATATATATATATATATATATATAGCTCAAATTATTGTCATCCTTAATAGAATATCACACTGGAAAACAAAGACCATTACTACACTGAGTAATTATCATATTGAATTAAAAATGAAAGTAATGTTGAACGAAAAATGGCAACGTGTAAAAGAATGTAGTTTTGCTTTCTCATCCTGTCATATTAATTTAAACCAACTGTTAGACAATCATTTCTTCACTTCTTTTATATCTTCTAGTTTGAATTTAATTAATGTAACATTTTCTTTTCCATTTTATTATATCACAAAAGGAGTTATCTCAATCAAATGCCTAATCTCTCTACCCCTGTTTGTTGATGTTACAATTGAAGCAAACCCATTAATGTTTATGATCTACATTAACTAAACAATCAAGTAGATAAATTTCATTAAATTATCTTTGATTTATGTGTCTGACTATTCATAGATCCATGTAATCTAACATTACACAAGCTGTTCTGTTATTTTTTTAACTCTCTGGATGACTTTTGTAATAATGAAAATGAACTTAAAAACATAATAAGCATTTGTATTAATAATAACTAGGTACGTAAAAGATGGCAGTCTATAATTAAGTCATAATTTTTTAGAGTTGTTTTTGTGGTTTTTTTTATTTGATTTCATCTGCTTCGGTATTTCATAAATAACCTTTATAATAAGAATTTACCTGGGATAAAATGCTTTCGCCAAATCTTGCAAAAAAATTTATGTTGAACTGTTTTGATTTTCAATAAGTAAATAAAGACAGAGTTCTTTACGATTCATATTCTAGTGTGTTTATAATGTTTTATAGCTTTGGTTAGATAATATTTAGGATAAAAAAGATCCAGAGATGATGAATGTTGAACAACGAGAATATGAAAGTTTAATGACCTTCGTAAATATTAAGAAATATATTTGAAATAATTAAAATGTCCTTCTTGTGCATAGTTCTTACGTGATAGAGATTTTCTGGCGGTTTTTTCATCTACTCATGTAAAATACTACTGAACAAAACCAACACTGACTAACTTGGAAATGAATGTGAATATTCATGAATGAATCCGGTTTGATTAATCTTGATTAGTTTAAGCATTTCAGGTTTACAAAATAATAACCGATCACTTAAAAATTAAATAAAATAATTTGATGAACTTATCCCTTGAAATATGAACGATCGAGCGAACGTTTGAAGTTGGTTATGCTAATTCTTGTCATAAAGATTGAGAATCCTGTTGTCGATTTATTTTATTTTGGCATTATTTTTAAAGCTATTTTTATGGGCCTTATAATTTAGCTAAGTAAAACAGAATGTACATTCATCGCTTTCATACACATTAGTTTAAATTAATTAGCCTAGTTTGCTACCTCACATTTATATTTTTAATTAGTTCCTTAAACGTTTGGTACAACCTGGAAAAACAGAACTAGTCAATTTTGTATTTAGGTAGGTGGAGGGGTTAATAGCTTAAATCATCTGATTGTGAAAATTATAGCCTAATTTTACATGGAGTTAATCTTGAACTTATTATATTGAATTGTTCAAGCTATTTCAAGTTGCACATTCATTAATGGTGCTTTTAAATATCAACCAGTAATGTTGGTCATATCATATCGTTTATCATAGTAACAAACGGTAATTTTCCTGTCAAAATGGGTGCTTTATTTTTTAAACCTTTTTCAGCTACAAATAAACTAATTGTATTAAGTTAATATATATCAGTGACAGAAAGTTTTTGTTCAAATATGTCACCACATTTAAAAGGATTTAGATAATAAATTTCAGTAATTTAGTTTGGAAATACCTGAATTAATAACAGTCACCTTTATTATTTAACTCCGCTTGAAGCTCTACTAGGTCTATCGACGGTCTCAAGCCCAAACAAAGGAGGAGGCCTGGGCTTGGGTCAGCATCCGCATCTCATAGAAAATAACATTGTTAAAAAAACACTAACTAGAATAAACTTTTATTATTCATCCTTATCGGAACATTCATCATTTTTAAGTGATTTACGTCATGTACCAACTTATAATGTTTCCCCGATAGAGCTGGTAAGCTTATAAATTTATATTTGTAACCGATTCTTAAGTTTAATTCTAATGTAAGGAATGTAAATGAATAAAAACTATCCCATATGAAATAAGGCACATTCACTGTGTTTCAGTAAATACGAGACCAAATCCATCGAAGGCAGACAGTTATAACTCCAATTATTCATTGGGAAAACAACATAGTGCATGAATTTGAGTGCAGTTATAATATTTGTTATAGATATTCATCTGAATTTTCACCTGGTACATTAACAATAATTTAAATATGCAACTAATGAACATACTTATTGAGTATGCACTTCATTGAAATCAACATGAACTAACCTAGATATGGTTCCATATCAATGAAGATTGAAGATACCCGATTACGTAATTGTAATATTGAATTCCCCCCCCCAAAAAAAAAGAACTACAAATATACTACTTTAATGAAAGAATAATTTTCATAACAGAATGTTATGTTATGTTTGTGATTTTGTAATATGTATACTGGCTCCTTTTGAATAGAATTTAATTCTTGAAGTTTAAACAAATCATGATTTAGTATTGTTGTTCAGTTTAAAGTAATGGGTTAATATTGTCATATTACATAACTAATATTGGAATATAATTCCTGGTGAAATGGTTCTTCACTGTTCCATCCCATTTTTGTAGTTATTTCCTTATCAATATTATTTGAGTATATATAATATTTAATTACAATTTTGACAGCTTAATTGATTAACTATATAGCAATAGTCTTTCTACGATAGGCTCAATAAATATTCATATGCTTTATGGTCTCCATACAGAAAAAAACATTTCATTAGAATCATAATAATTTACTTATTAAATTCTAAAATAAGATGGATCACCAATAATTATTTATTCTTCATGCTAAGTTGAATTTCCAAGGAAAAAAAGGAACTGTGGTTTTTAGTCCCCCTATTTGACAATTATGACATTTGAAATATTTAACGTTTCATTTTTTTGATTAAAATTTAAAAGAAAAAAAAACATTGATACAATACCCTTGATATTGAATTAAACTAGTTGTAAGTCGCCATTTTCTTCAAAGTAAGTTTATATTTTAATTAGATTATAAATAAGTTTGATTGTTGAAAGCATTAGTTTGTTGAAGTTAAACATTAACACCATCGGATACCGGCTCAGCGGTTGGGTGCTCTGGCGCGAGACTGGTAGGTCCTGGGTTCGAATCTCGCTCTCGATGAGAGATCGTGGATGCGCACTGCTGAGGAGTCCCACATTAGGACGAAGCGGCCGTCCTGTGCTTCCAGGTTTTCCATGTTGGTCTAGCTTCAATTGACTTATGATTTCAACTTTGAAATATACTGAAATCTCCACAAATCCCCCTCTGATTATTATATTAATTATTTAGTGAATAAACGACTGTTGTTTAACAAATATATGGAAATAAAAAGAGAATGAGTTTCATTTCTTTAAACTGTTCTAATTAGATAAACTTATCTAATGAATGTAGACAACTCATTAGTTAGACATTTAAATACAAAAAATGTGGGAATTTCACTCGTTTTATGATATAATTCTGCTATATTAAGATAGAGATATAAACTTAATATTGTCTAATATCAGAATATTACATGAATAATGAAACATTCTAGGAATGCTGTAAAGAAATCTAATGGAAAGAAATTATACTAACTCATAGGTATGGAAATCAATCTTCCCATTGATGTTTAGAACTGCAACTGGTCAGTCACTTATTGGCATACAAGTCAGGACTCAGAAGCTGAGCGGATAATGCGATGGCGTTTGAAGCGAAAGGTACTGGGTCCGAGTCCCAGAGTGAACATCAACCCTGAGATGCAGGTACTTCCAGCTGACGAATCCCAAATAGAATGAAACTCGTGTCCTGGATTCCACTGCTAGCCACTATCCATCAACCTTTA